CCTGCCCGGCCAGTGCCCGTGGGCATGCCGTCCCCTCCCTGGGCCCCTATGGCCGGAGAGCACCGGGCTCCAGCACCCAGGCACCGCTTGGCCCATGTGGGCTGCTGGGGACATGCTTGGCCCACACTGGTGGGGACCTCGCCCTGCTCTCTGTGTGCGGCCAGCCTGGCTGGGGCTGGAGGGCTGCTGGCACACAGCCCCCTGCCCCTGGATGGCCGTTGCAAGCTAAAGCTGGATGCTGTTGGCCCCTGTGCTGGGAGGGCTCGCACGGGTCGCTTGCCCGTAGCTGCATGCTGAAGCTGAGCCTGCAGTCCTGCACGTTTGCCCTCTAGCTGTCGGAGCCGCTGGCTGGGCGGTAGCATCGCTGCTAGTGCAGCGCCTCTTGTTGTGCCCCTCAAGCGGGTGTTGGTACAGTGGGTTGCCAGCTGCTCTCCGTCTTGGAGAAGGCACTGGAAAATGCCCGGCCTCGCTAGCGTTTTGCTGCAGTCCTCTGTGCCTGGCCCTCGGGACTGGGGAGGTGCTCTGCCCCCTCCCCTCACTCTCCTCCAGTGCGCCGTGCGCTCGCGCCGCCGCAACATGGCGCCTGGCTTGCTCTGCCACCCACCGGGGCCCAATGGTCCCCATGCACCAGCTGTCTTGGGGCCATCGTGCCTGCTGGTCTTCAACCCCAGTATGGGGGGACCTGGCTAATGAGGTGGAATGGATTGGCAGACGGTGGCCATAGCATTTCTCTCTCCTTCAGGGAGCAGGGCTTCGGTGATGCAACGGGGTGTGGATGTGATGCTGCTAGTGACATGTCCTAGCCTCACTGGGTGGCACTGGTTGTGGGTGGGTAGAGAGGCAGAGCACCTGGGGCCCTGTGTCGCTTCTACGGTGCGGGCGGGTTCAGTACCAGGGGTCTTGCAGGCTCTGCATGCATGCACAGAAGACTCATTGCGGCTCCTTGATCCAATTATTCACTGGCCTGCAAAGCTCCCTGAGGTTGATGCTACTTGGTGCATCCCGGCGGTGTTGCTCTGTCTGGGCTGGTGCCTCCTGGGTGGTGGCCAGGTGAGCTCTAGGTGCTGGGGCAGAGCCACCCTGCTCCCTCCTGCTGGGTGGTGGTTTGGTGAAGTGGGTGCTGGAAGCTATTACGTTTTGAGAGCTGGGAAGTCCTAGTCCTTTGGGGAAGCCGGTCCTCCACGGAGCGATGCTTGGTGGCTGGAAAACCGAGTTAAAGATTGCATCCCTGGGGAATGGTTGAACAGAAGCAGCCCCTGCTCTCCATCGTGCCACCTCTGGGTGTGTGCAGGGAGGGGTACGGTCCAGCCTGCCCCACTAAATGCTTTGCATCCTTGCTGGGTGTATTTGTCACCCTGCACCCAGGGGTGCAGCAAAGGACCTCAGCCCTGGAGGTGCCTGAGGATGCTTGGGAGGCAGTGGGCTGGGACTGGTGGGGAGTTGTCCCCCATCCCTGACAGCATGGCTGTTGGAAAGCCTGCTCTCCACCAGGAGCCATCACAAATAACGTTGTGGGTGACAAGCTGCTCATTGGGCTCCGTGGTAGCTGCTCTGAGTCTGCGGGATCCCTCGGAACCCTTGTTTTTCTTGCATGTACTCCTGGCTGACCAGGAGCTGTTCCTTGCTGCAGAAGAAGCTAATGGTGGCACAAGGAGTGACCTTGTGCTTAGGGTCCCAGCGTGGTCTGGGGGGCTTAATCCCACATCCTGCCCAAATTCTTGCCCAGACCTACCCTTGATGCAGAGCGATAACCGTGTTTAGTGCAACGTGGAATCCTCCAGTCCTGACGTACGCAGGAGGCTGTGCTGGAGAGTTTTCCCACACCGTGAGGATAATGCTGCCAGATCCTGGTGCTGCGGATGCTCCTCTGTTCCTTCCCCCGGCCCCATGAGCCTCCTCCGCCACCTCCCTGAGCGTTTGCAGAAGGGTGCCATGCACCCCAGATAAGGCAGGGGCGAAGCTCCCAAATTCAGCCTTTCCCTTTATCTTATCTGCAAGCCCCTGGATCTCGCAGCCCCTTCCTGGCCAGTGACATGCGGAGGACAGGAATG